CGCACAACGGAGCAACCATCAAAGAAAAGGAAGGAAGACCTCCCAGAATAAAAGTCTTAGGTTAAAAAGCCTTCCCCTGATAAGGAACAAGGTTTGTAAGCCTTTTGATCACCATCCTGTATTGTTCTAAATTTAATCAGTACTATTAATATTTAAACCTGCTACCCTGATACCAAAATTGATTGGATCTGATATGATTGCATGTGTATGGTATGTGATATTAAGCACTTGAATAAGATACTTGAAGATGAAACAGGAACATTTTATCACTAAATTTGGCTTTGTATAAGATTCAAAAGCTTACTCAAACTTGTTAACTGGTGGTACATGTCAGTTGTATATGTAAACCTGTCCTACTATGAAATTAGATGGTTTTTACTCAGATGCACGCTGCTAACAATACTTGCAACAAAACATTACTTTCAATACCATAACCACTCAAAATACTACCATTACTGTACCTTATCATACGGGTGATTAACAAAATCGGACGATCGTGAAGCGGGAGTCCAATTTGTTAATCACGAGTTAACCCACTCTTAATTAGACAGAACTGGACGACACGGGGTCATGTTACCAATTATTGAAAACTATGACTTGATTTAAGAAAGAAACTAGACATTGATGGCACGTTTTCTTGAAAAACAAGCAAACAAAAAAAACGTCAGTTCACTCGTCCACTTACTTAGGCATGACGTGTTTACTGTCCCATTACACTGTCCAATTATAGGCATGACACGTACACTGTCCTATTAGTACTCAAATCGGGCTGATGGTAATCAGTCATGCTTGAGTATTTTGTTATAGTTTTGATTAAGGTTGTAATCGGATAAGGGAGAAGGAAACCTTGTCTTGCGGGGGAATAGCAATTCTCCTAGTCACCTGATGCTACTGAAATTAATGTAAGCTTTGGCAAGATTAGACCTGTGGCTCTTCTGCTGACTTTACCTTTAATCCTTTAACTCCTATAAGTGACCAAGAGAGAATTTCTCCTTACAATATCAATATAATATCAGTCAGACAAGTCGCGAGAATAAAGAAAAATATCAACAAGGGGATTATTAGTTGATCCAATACC